GGTAAAATTGGGAGTTCATAACCCACTTCAATCTAATGTATGAAATATGATATGTCAAGAGCTTTGTAATGTTTTGAACAACCAATAAAAAAAAAGAAAAAAACATAAAAGGAAACAAATAGAGGTCTGCAATGACAGAAAAGCTAGTGTTAGTTCTACAATCTGTTCTTTCCTCTTACTGGCTCAAGAAATAGAGATGACTTGATCAAATTACCTTAGAAACATGCTAATGAGAGACATTCTGGCAAGCACATTAGAAGTACTACAGGAACAATGCTTACTTACTAAATGCTTTAGCAGGATAGATTTGGTCTATCTAGATTGCTTATTATGCATAAACCTGGGAGGTATACTACAGGCATGACTACCCAGAAAATGTAAAAAATTACACTATTATCAAGAACATACTACAGATGTCTCATGATTAAAACAGCCCTTTTGTAGAAATGACATTCCACATGCATTACTTAGAGGTCTTTTATGTTAAAACCTGGGCCACAGCTCATCCTAAATCGAGACAAGAAAGCATATGGGCACAGCTCTGGCAGTCATGAACTTCTCTTTGCTTTGACTGTCTTGTGACAATTTTCTTTTTTGAGAATATTCAAAGATAAGAGCTCTTACTGTTCTCAGTTCAATTTGTCAACCCAACCCTTTGCATCATCTCACCAATAATGTTTAATTTGAATTGGAAGTATTAGTGTGAATATTTCCTAACACTATCTACCAAAACTTAGTGGTCATACACATCTTTTGAGGCCTAAACTGTGGAATATAACTCATGAAAATAACTCAGGTTCCTTGGAGAAACACTGATATTAATTTCTGGGTTTGGAAATGTATTAAGATGAGTTGGAGACTTCTTGGCCTGCCTGAAAAAAAGTTAAGAAAGTTAAAAATTTGTGAAAAAAGTTATGAAAGTCAAAAGAACGAAGGAATAAATTTAAAAGGGTTTCCAAAGGCCAAACATGGGATGATTTGAGCAACAAAAAGAATGACTATAATATGGTGAAACATAAATACATAAAAATCTATGAATTTGTAATGATCCTTGTGATATTTTGAAATGTATGTTTGGCAATCCTCTCAGTTTCCTCACACAGTTCCTAAAACCCTCAGAATCTCTGGATTGATAAAGTATCTTCTGTATGCTAAAGAGATGAATGGAGGCCTGGGGGCTCCTGGACAGTTATGAGAGCTTATTGTCAGGGGAACCATGTGATTAGAGGGTTAGAAATTTAAGTCCCACCCTTCAGAGGGGCTGAAGATTGAGCTATACATAAATGAGTGGAAAATGAGTTATCACCCATGCTTACATAATGAATCTTTCACAAAAACCTCAAAAGACTGAGTTCTGAAACCTTCTGGATTGTTGAACACACATAAGTTCCTAGTGGAGAGTACACCTAGAGAGGATAGGAAAGCTGTGTTTTCTTTTATAACTCACTTTTTGCGTCATGTCTATTTGTGCTCTTCATCCATATCCTTTATAAGATCCTTTATGATAAATGGGTAAATGTGTTTTTATGCATTCTTTCAGCTGCTCTAGTAAATTACCTGAACCCAAAGAGGAGATCATGGGAATTCCAGTTTACAACTGCTAATCAGCTCAGGCACAACAACTTAAGGCTTGCAACTGGCATGTGAAGTGGGAGGAGGGAAATACTCTTATGGACTCAGCTCTCAATCTGTGGGATCTGATGCTATCTCCAGGTAGACTGAGTTAAACGAGAGGACACCCAGATGATGTCCAATGGGAAGTTTGCTGTCAAATGCCTGCTTGATATGTGCACAAATATTCCCACATATCTGTATGAGAAGTGTTTAATGAGTATAGAAAAACACACTTTATTTTTTATTATCTGTTTTCCCCTATGTCCCCGACAATGCTCAAAAACAAAGCAAAGCAACAAACAATATAAAAATGAAACAAAAAGAAAAAAAAAACCCACACATCTTTGGTCTCTGTTGAAGGGAATCAAATTATTACTTGAAAACATTTCAAGGGAAAAATAATCAACAATTTATCCTGTTGGCCCCAATTACCTGAAAAGGGAAAGTTCTCTATAAAAGAATCCCAAGTAACAAATCCAGAAGGAATGGTAGAGAGTATCACTGCTTTGTAACCCAAAATGAAAGACAGGATCCAGAAAACAAATACAAATGTATTTGTAGGCAAAAGATCAGAGAAAATGTGGTATGGCTAGATCAAGCTAATGCCAACTGATCTCACTGATGAAACTTATATCACTAAAAGTGGAACAATTAGATAATATTATATGCCTCCCAATGTAATGCAGTATACGTGTAATAAAAAGCAGGACCAAACATATCCAAGCCTCTAGAGCTAACTCACAGTTTTTAGAATATATAGCAAATAGTAGAATAAACTAAAATAACAATACAAGGATACAACATGCTAGATCCATAATGTGGGAAATTATATAGCATAAAAGATACTATTTTTTTTTAACAAATAAAATGACACTTAAAAAGAAGGGCAGGAGACTGTTACAGATTATGAGAAACTTAAGCTCTTAGTCTGGATACTGATTCAAACAAATCAATTATAAGAAAACATCTGAAACAAGTGGGAAAACTGAACAGTCTGAGTATTAGGTGATAAAGGATAAAAACTAATTTTATGGTTTTGTTAGAAAAAAAAATCTTACTTTTAGAGATACATACAACAGTAAAAGAACATGTGGAATCTGCTTTAAAATTCTCTAGAAAAGAAAAAAAATGCAAGGGTACATGGGGTGAAAAGATGAAACTAGAGCAGCAGAATGTTGACAGACGCTGAAGCTGGGCAATAGGTAGTAGGGGGGTCATTATACCCTCCACCTCTGTGAGTATTTAAAACTCTTCCTAATAAAAAATAAAAAGAAATGAATTAAACTAATACTTGGCACAAGTTTAAAATAGTAATTCATATTTGGTTGAGGTATGAGAAAAAAGTTAGTCTCAAAGGAAGTGAACATTCTTTTTTTGAAAAGTAATTTAATAATTATGTATCATATATATTTTCTTGATTTACATTTAACCCGGCAAAACTTATTTTTAAAAATTCTAAGAAAGCCTAGTGTGGTAGCATACACCTAAATCCCAGCTATTCAGGAGGCTGAGGCAGGAGAATTCCAAGTTTAAGGCCAGCCTGGGCAACTTAGTGAGACCCTGTCTCAAAATAAAAGCACTGGTGATATAGTTCAATGTAAGGCAACCCTGGGTTCAATCCTCAGTACAAAAAAAAAAAAAAAAAGATTCTAAGAATATGATATGCACAAAGATAAATTTAAAATGATCTCACACTACTCAACCTATTTCTAAGCTACGGTAAATTTATATTTTTTTTATAGCTATTAACCATCCAATTGTAAATGACTAATAACATGGGAAAATGTTCATGGCAAGCAGTTAAGTACAAATTGCAGGCCATAATATAGTATATACATTTTAGCAAAATTTAGTTTTCTTTTTTTAGTTGTTGATGGACACAATATCTTTCATTTTATTTATTTTTATGTGGTGCTGATCAGTTCCTGAGAGTGGTTAACAATGAAATAATAAATGGCTATGGTGGTGATTTCTGAAATAATAAACTAAATGACAGAAGGCTGGAAGGATAAGGCAAAGCAGAAAATTTTTTTAGAAGAACAGGCTTTAGCTCACACAAAGAAAATTTTAAATTTAAAGGAAGCGTCAAAAAGGAGAAAAAAGCAGATTGTAGTTTACATGTCTATAAAAGCTTAAACTGGAGAGTTATAAATATCTAATACAAATTACCTAGTTATTCTAACAATTCTGAAAAAAGCTGATGTAGCATGATAGACAGTTCTCTATTCTATTTTGTGTTCCAAAATTTTAAATTATAATTTTTGGTATACAAAAAGAAATTTTAGAATATAAACATAAATCATATAGAATTTCCTTTATTGAATTCAGTTCATGTAACATAGGTCAAATCTGTTAAGTGAATAATGTATTAAAATCTAGAAAATGCCATAAAACTATACTTTTACATGCAGTTAATAATTAACAAAATCAGACTTCTTCAGCACTTTTCTACACTCACTAATTTTAAAACTTTAGTTATCTCTTTCCGAAATCAAGCAAAAGCAAAAAAAAAAAAAACATCCCGACTACCTGGTTTCCGTACTTTCTTTGGCTCTTCATGATCCTTGTTTTCTGGATTTGGAGATTCTAGAAAGCTGATTTCTTCTGCGACACTTTCCCCCTCCTGGTTCTTGAGGCTCTCTTCCTCTTCTTGAATATGGGATTCCAATTCTGATTCTTCTGAATCAAGAAATATCTGACCAGCAACTACTCTGCCTGTGGTGGTATGGTCCTTTACTGACTCATCTGATGGCAAAGAATTCTGAGAATATAAAGTGTTTTTAGTTATCAACAGAACCAAGACTCCCTCTAGCCTTCCTTCACTTTTGCAAACCCAGCTAAGTCTCCTTCAGCTCATCCCTATAGGCTCTGGCTGGTGTTCATGACATGCCTTCATCACTTGTTTGACTCATTCTTTTTTTTGAATTTCAACTCAGATGCTACTTTTCCCAGGAAGCTTTTCTTAATTCCAAAAGTCCGGCTTAGGTTATCCCTCTACATGTTCTCATCATATATTATACTTACTCTATGGTAACATTGTATTAAAATTTTCTGTTTTTATCTACATTTCTTCTAGAGATTAGAGTTCATACAGTGTCCTCCTTGGATATGTAAGAATCAGTCTTACTCATTTAAACAATCAATAAGTGCATACACTCATTTTTCTTTGAAAAGTCATGTAAGTGGAAACAAATGGCAGAAGTTCAGTCCTCAAAACTCAAAGAACCTCCCCTCCCCCACAGACTAACACCAATTTCTAATTAGGCAACAAAAATATTACCCCCTTAAGCTTCTCTGATACACACTCCGAATGTTCAAGTAGAAATTACAGTTAATAGCCAACATTCTTTTTTTGGTACTGGAAATTGAACTGGGGCATTTGGCCACTGAGCCACATCCCCAGCCCTATTTTGTATTTTATTTACATATCTCACCGAGTTGCTTAGTGCCTCACCACTCTTGAGGCTGGCTTTGAACTCATAATCCTCCTGTCTCAGCCCCCTGAGCCTCTGGGATTACAGGTGTGCATCACCACGCCCGGCAATAGACAACATTCTTTTTTTTTTTAATATTTATTTTTTAGTTGTAGTTGGACACAATACCTTTATTTTATTTATTTTTATGTGGTGCTGAGGATCGAACCAAGGCCCTTGCGTGTGCTAAGACAAGCTCTCTGCTGAGCCACAACCCCAGCCCCATAGCTAACATTCTTAATGAAAGTATCAACTTTACTCTCTTGTAGGTCAGTGATTTTTCTTTAACTCTAGAAGAGTTATAACTAATATTGATATTGCCTATCTTTTTCTTTTCTTTTTAATTCAATTCTTTTACTCAAAAGACACAGATTTCATATCCTCAGTAAAGTACACAATTCCATGCTTTTAAATTGTGCAGTAAATACTGGCCTGTGCAAATTTTAGTACACACCTTGGAATCCAAGGATTCTTCCTGGCTACCTTCTTCATCTGTAAAGAAATTTTAATACAATTGGTCATCTTTTCTGTTGGAAAATTACAAATATTATTAAAATAAAATATTTGATAAAACAAACAATTATTTTAAAATTGGTTGTATTCGGCATCTGGTCTCAAAATATTGAGTGAAAAGAAAAAAACAGGTTGAGGGGGTAATTTCTTTCTTTCTCCAGGTAGGAAAACCAACTGTATTCCAGTCAAAATGAACAAACCCCAGATACTTTACATTCCATCCAATTTTTGTAAATAGTCTGTTACTGAGAATGAGTTATTCAGTTCATAAATATAAATATCCAATTTCATATTCTAGTCTTCTACTTATTCTGTTCTCTGCTCAGGATCTGGAGTTACATTGGCTTATTTTAGTGTTAATCAGCATTTAACTGTTTGCTAATACTGCCAAGAATGGGAAATCGTCGTCATGGTCATCGTTGTCCTCCTCCTCCTCCTCCTCTTCCTCCTCCTCATCATCATCATCAGTAGAGTTGCCAAATATGCTAAAATTTGTTTTACTTCACTGAAGAGATAACCAGATAGATATAAAAAGTAGTACTATATTATTTGTATACTCACCCACATGAAAGCTATTTATTAAGAAACTTGACAGCTTATACTAAATAAATAATGAATCCAGACACCAATTACACCTTTCTTCCAAATTCACCCACATTGCTTTGGTTATGTCAGATTACATAATTTTCCTTTTATTCTTTCTGTGTTTCCCAGCTCTATTGTTATTCTGGCTGCTTGTTATTCTTTTTCCTGGTCTTATATAAACACATGAAATAACTCAATATCCAGAAGCAAATATTTGATCTTTGCATTCACTGCCAGTTTTAAAAAAAACAAACACAAAACTGTCGGATGATCTCTAGGTTTTCCTTCTTGTTCTTAAGATTACCTGATTTTATGTAGAAGTAAGATTCAGTATTTTCTGCTCCATAAGATAGGAGGAATTAACCAGTAGATGCTCTGAGACCATTTGATTTTTACTGGAAAATTTAGTTGTTATCTTTACTTCAAATAGTTCTATTTTAAATATTATTTGTAAGTTACAACTGTAACAAAAACATGTTTTGAACTGTATTGTCATTAAAGCTAACTTAAAGAAATATAATCAACTCATGCAAAAATTTACAACTCTATTTTACAATTACTCATTTGTTTTGAATATCTGAGAAAACCAGTCTACTTCTGACTATAAAAGTGTGTCAAATCCAAAGACATTTAAATTATAGCTAGTATTCATATTCACTTACTTTACTTTCCTCTTATGTTTGGATTTTGGCAGGTGGGAGAAAGGTATGGCATGTTGGTCCCACAGTGCACTTAACATTTAGGTAGTGATGTCAATTAATAATCATCCTTCCTGCTAACTTCTTTCCAAATATAACCTTAAGCTAAGTTCTAACAGATGGCTCAAGTTCCATCCTCAGCAAATCTTTAGATAAATGAAAAATTCATTTCTATTATTAATTATATCAGAGTTGTATGTGTAGATGTAGTTAAGCATAGATGTATTTTGTAGTTAATGTATCAAGAGAAGTCATTAGGTGTGCAAATGTGTGTGATACATCCCAAAGACTGAAACTCTGGATTAGAAGGAACTCTACTAATTACTAATCTAGTACCTTGTCACAACAGGTCAAAAAGGTAGCCAATAGGTAAGTAATGTAGACACCTATAAGTAAATTTAAGGACATACACATTTGTAGAACTACAAACTGTTAGGCATTACAGGAGCAAAATGTGTTTCTGAACTCAAAGAGACATGACCGTGACATCAGGGTTATTTCATGTGAATTGCATCATGCTTCTCTTTTCTTCTCTCTTTACAAACTAGGAATACACACTAAGCTTGCTGATAAATAAAAGAACTTTCTCAGTTACTAAACTAGGAAAGCCTACTTCAGGTAGCCATGTAAAAGCATAAGCTATTTTCTCTTTCAAACTGATATTTACATTCACATAATATATTTTTTAAAGAGCTGTTTATGCCCTAAGCACTCCCATATGTAACAAGCAGCTAAAGATGAAAAACACTGGAATAATCTATAAACAAAAAGTAAATAGGACTTTTTTTTTTTTAAAATCAGAATACAGACATCAAGTAACAAATTGTGAAAGGATTCAATAAAGAGCTGTGGATTTCTCATTTACCAGTATCATATCGAAAATACAATTGTTCACACTATTTCATTAACTGTACATTTTCCTTTAAAAAAGATCAATATTCATTATACCAGCTAACAAAGCCATAAAGTGTCAGGATACTTTTTAAGGAAAAGCGATTATACAAAGTTTAGTGAAAGGAGACCAGATACCCTTGTCTTCTGCTCTGTCACTTTGCTTAGGATCTGTACACATCCTGGATATTCTTGATTCTGAATTCCCCCAAAGCTGAGGCCTCTTAAAAACTAAGTGTGACACTGGCTTCATCGCTTAGTTAATTTGGACAGACATGGTTGAATGTCAAAAGTTTGCTCATCCTCCATTTTCTCAATCTGTCAAAAGGGAATGGATGACACCATCTATCCTGTTCATTTGCAATGTTCCAAGAAATAAAAGCCATGAAATTCAATATCCTTCTTAAAATTTACTCTCTGAATTTATGGTATTAATATAACTATTATCTGAAATACCTGGCAGTGGATCTAATTTAAAAGACTCTGTAACACTGTACATCATAAATAAATATTGTTTGCATCTTTCTGCAAAAAATAAAGGGTGTGTGTGTGTATGTGTGTGTGTATGTGCGTGCCACTCTAGGGACTGAACCCAGGGCTCCTGCATGCTAAGCACATCCTCTGCCACTGAACTATACCTCTAGCCCCAAGAAAGCATGTATTTCTAAATGAGAAACATTATACCTTTTCACTTATATCTTCAGAAAAAACTTTTTAATCCTCTTTATTTATTCACAGGGAAAGGAAGCTTTTCTAATGTAAGTATCATATTTCTACGTCTTTATTAATAGGATCAAGATCTTCTTTGTTGGCTAACTTTATTTTACCTGGTTATAAATGCAACTCTTCCTGGGTAACAATTAACATTTCCATTAAAGTTACTACCCCCAAACTGGTTTTTATACAGGAGCAAAGCTTTAATTCTAAACTCTTACAACTAGGCTGAAATTCTGTATAAAACAAGCACTTTAATGAATGAAAAAGCCAACTGAAAAATCTAAGCACTTAATTTATAAAACTTTATATCACGTTTTATGATATTTACACTAATTAGTACAACACAGTTGTCTCTTGTTTTATATGGAGGGCTCATTCCAGGATTCTCCACCCACAAACCCCGGGACAACAAAAGCTGAGGATGCTAAAAGTCCCTTTATAAAAGTACATAGTATTTGTATATAACTTACACACTTTCTTACTTATAATACCTAGTAGAATGGAAATGCTAAGTAAGTAGTTGTTACATTGTTTAGAAGACAATGACTAGGAAAAAAAGCTTGTACATGCTCAATACAAACACTTTCCCCCAAATATTTTCCATCTTTAGTTGGCTAAATCTGCTGGAATTTGTTGATAGGAAGGGCCAACTGGTCTTTATTAACTTTTACATGGTTATCTATATTATTTTAGTCTCAGCTAAGATTTTGCCTTTACCAGGGAAATGTTTTGGCACAGCTTTCACAATGATGGAAATCAAAACAGACATTTCTTTTTTTGCAGTGCTGGGAATTGAACCCAGGGCTTTGTGCATGTGAGGCAAACACTCTACCAACTGAGCTACATCCCCAGCCCAAACATAGACATTTCCTGAACCTTTACTTACACCAATACACCCAAAGTTAACACTTCAGTGTCAACAGTGTTTTATTATAACATTCCCAGAGACCCAATTGTTGATCTTCAAATATCATCTCCACTGACATGGAGCTCTGTGCATATGAAACAAAGTCAAAAGAAAACAGGGCAATTTGAATGCTTTAATTTTCTTTAACTCTGAAAACTGAATTCAGAGAGATGAATGTCTTTAATTAGTGCAGTTCTCAAACTTTAGTGTGAAGAATCACTTACAGACCATATTTCTGTACAAATTCTTGACCTATTCCAGACCTAAAACCAAATTCTTAACAAAACCTAAGAGAAATTCTGTTGAAAGCGGTCCATCAGTTATTTTACCCATTAAACTTAACAGCTTAATTTCTTACTTTTTTTGATCAAACAACTGCTAGAGGTGCTTCAAGAGTTATGTACTATATAGTCTTAAAAGACTTGGTATGAACACAGACCATTACTACAACTGGAGTAGAATGGACCTCAAAGTATGCTGGCAGTGAAGTAGTGTGCATATGGTTCTTACTTTTAAAATGGCATCTCAAATCACATCATAGATAGAATTTTGGTTGAGGTCTCTTATTTTAGAAGCAGGATGATCTTATGGCATTGATTTACAACTAGGGCAGATAATTTGGGGATTTGAATAACCAGCTGGGAAATTTTCTGTTGAATTAATGGGAGTTGACATTTACATTCTGTCCTGTTCCAAAAAAAATTTAAAGCCACAGAACAGCTATCTTGTTCACTGACACTGATTAAAATTCCAGGTTTCCTATACTAATTGTTTATCAACACTTAGAATATCATGTTTTTTAAAATCAACATTCCCACAAGAGAAGTTTTCTGATGTAAGCAAACCAAAACATCAAAAAGGAAACAATTTTAAAAACCAAAGCATAAATTAGATAATTGAAAATAAATTCAAAAGCCCATGAGTTTCTGTATCTATATAAAAGGGTGCAACTATTTGTTGTTCAGTTTATGAGGATCAAAGTGATAAAAATCGCTGTCAACAAACATGGGGCAACTCGGAGACACTGTGACAGAGGTCACCACTTTCTCAGGAAGGTTTCAAAAAGCGGGTTGGAGAGTGGCTACAGTTACATCGTTAAGTCTCTGTTTTAAAAAACATATAGACTAAGGATCACCTCAGGTGTTAGGCAAACGCACCAAACCACTGTCAACCCCTACCCAGTGCTGTTGGACCCTGCTCTGCCCAAAGTGACAGCTCCAGGTGTGTCAATTACAAAACCTAAACGGAGAGTTCCAGGCTCCACGCGGTACATAATCTACACAAGGGTCGAGGAAGCCCCGGCCGGGGTCATGTTGGGGGTCTAAGCCAGCTGTGGGGATTCATTCCCATAGAGTCAATTCCTTATCCGTGAGAAGCCACGTAAAGTTTGTTACGTTGAGAAAGAGGTGTGGGCAGTGTAACCGCCCCTTCTTTTTCTCCCCTCCTCCGGCTCCCTAAACACCCACAATACCCAGGCTAACCGAAGCCCAAGGTTAGAGCGAGTGACAGTCCTGTACTGAGTGTGATTACAGACAGCGGAGCCCCGGTCCCTGAGCCCCCAGGGCCCTGACCACCAACCGAGGCCGGGGGGGCGGCGGCTCCGGCCTTCAGGCCGCGGGGAAATATACTGACCCGAGGACGCCAAGGCCGAGCCCAGTAGCACCGCACAGAGCAGTAGCGTCAGCCCGACCCGGACCTGCATCCTGTTCTCGCGACCGCTGCCAACCCCTGGAGCTGTCGCCTTCACCTCTGCCACCACGGACTCAGCGGCCGCCGCCTCGCCACTGCTCTTCCTGCTCTAGCTTTCTTTCTCCGCCCCTTCCCAGGCCTCCCTGACCCTGAGCGCAGCCAATCGCTGATCGCGGTCGCAGATTTCTCTCCCAATCGCTGTGTTCGCCCCGCCTCCCTCATGGCTCCCGCCCCGAGGTCATCTATTGGCCAATCATTGTCCGAAGCTCCCACACCCGCTTTCCTGGTTGGACCACGGCCGCACCGACATGGCCCCAGCTAATTGGTAGCTCTTAAATCAGAGAGTGAGTCAAAGGCTGGGAGAAAATTTTCCCCAGTACTACAATTACCACAATACACTTCGTGTGATTGACGGGCGAGTGCTCTTGGGAAGCGTAGTCCATCCTGGGGCAAGCTCTAGTGCAGGTGGCTGTGGAAGTTAGGAGAATTTAAGAACGCTTCAGCTAGAAAATAACACAAGGCTGTGAATCCACTTTTATGTTTTGCTGTGGGGCCAAAGTAAATATCAAGGAACACATGAGGTTAAGACATGTTATCTGTTAACCATCTCTGTTTTATTCAGAAAATTGGAATTGAACATAGTGACGGGAGCATTGAGAACAATGCAACTTTTTTTTTTTAAAAGCTGTAGTTTTTTTTTAAAAAAATTATATTTTTAATAAATTTACTTTTAAAAATATTTACATAGAAGAGTACCGTGGTATGAAAACCAGGGTGTAAATAACTGTGTTCATCCTCTCCCTGACAAAAGGAAATCATATGCAGTACATATTATCTCAATGCTAGTATTAATTTTTACTAGGGCCACTAGACGATAATCATCTGGAAAACGTGCCAAAAGCTTTTGTAAAACCCTTTCAAACACTTGTCCTCATATCTCTGATCTGTGAATTGCAATGTTTTCTTCTTCCTTGACTAGAAAAGAGGCTATATTGGTGAGTGTGGAGATGGAGGTAATAGCCATAGCGTTGTGTAAACAGAAATACTTAATATAACACTTAGGGATTCAGGAATGTTCCTTCTGGGGAGCAGGGCAGTAGCTTCATGCCCCACCCCTTCTTTCATCAAATTGTATCATTCTGATTTCCCTAGTACCTATCTGCAATCAAGACATTTGTCAATCTGGGCATTTGTCTTCTTTAAGAGGAAATCTTTTTTTTTTTTTTTTCCCCAGTAACAGTCTAAAAAACTAACTGCTGTTCTTCACCTCAGAGGAGATGAAAGATATTATCTGACAAAAAGTTCTCTTTTCTTCTTAACCTCCTTGGCTCTTACCTCCATTTATGTCACTAACATGTTTTCTCATTGTTTGTCTGTTTTTAAATCATAGAGTAAAATAATTTTCTTCCCGTTTTTAATATGATTTTATCCCTCTTATTTTAAAATTTACTTTGTATCAATTTACATTTTTTTCTCCTTCTTACTGGAAACTTCCTTAATGGGTCACATTTCCTTTACCTGGATGATGCACCCAAGGTCTAGTAGTTATATTTTCAGATCATTCTCCCATCACTCTAAGTCACCTACTAGAACCATACTAATTTTCCTTAAACACTACTTTCATATGCCTATTTAAAATGTTTCAGTGGCCTCCTTTTTCATAGACTAAAGAACATTAGAAATTTGTCAATTCACAGATTAAGAGAATGTGCTGATAGTCCTCTTTTGGTGAAGTACTGGGGAAGAAACTTCTGCCGTCCACAAAAGAAGTGTTGACTATCTGATCATAAGATTGGGGAAGGTTCTCTGCATAGTTAAGGCCCAGCTTCTTTTTAATTTTTGTCTTTAGGAATTCTTATTGTTAAGGCCCTGTGCTGGGTGCTTTAACTTTTTTAAAAACTGCTTTATAATTTTCCACATTAACATAATCTTGCCTTGCTATGGACTTCCCTACCCACCTCTCATCTGCCCTTACTTCTTTGCTGCAGCCCCAGTATCCTTCCCAGTTTTAATTATATTTCTTCTTGGTTGAGATTTCTCCAACTGGTCCTGATACCTCCTTCATCTTCACTTCTCCAAGTATCTATCAAACATTTACAACCTTCCCTCTTACATGTATTGTAAACTTGCTGAGGTCAGTGACAATCACATGATTCTATATATAGTAATAGAACACTGCCACATACTAGCACTAGATTATTATGGTTGATTGATAGATACAACTTCCCTGTCTGTTGTGAATTTCAAAAGAGAGATTTAGGAAAAAGGCACTTATTACACCGTGGAGTGCTCTATAGATAATATTTCTTATTAACTGCTTATAAGGATGGAAATTAGTTTTATTCCTTTAATTTGAAAGGGTTTAGAACTACTAGAGCTTTTGCCATTAACCAGCAGAATAACTAATACATTCTGCAAATGCTCCATAAGACCTTGACTTCCTGGGGAAATTCCGAATCTCCAAAGCAGGTTCAAGTGATGGTGTGGGAAAGTTGGATTTATTTGGTCAGTCGGCTACGCTGCATGCTGTTTAATTAAAAAAAAAAAAAGTTTGCAAATTCTCCACAGCCTTATCCAGGCTGAGCATACACTTCCCAAGGTCTCTGCCAACACTCCCCGTTAAGATTATGTACTCACTCTACTGGTACAAAATGTTAATGTCATTGTTTATTAATTCATAGACTTCTTTTATATTTGCTCAGCTGTGCTCTATTCTGCCTGTCCCTATAAAAGTGTTCTGGGTCATTGTCATAGATTTCCAAATTGCAGAAAACTGTTTACTTTGCATTACAACATAGTATAGGCTCTAATGGAAAGAGGTAATAGGTCCTGTTTGGTGTAGATCATATTGATATGATTCTCATTTCATTGAGATGAACTAGGCACTCAGCAAATGTTGAGAACCCCCTGAAAGTGTTGAGGACACAAACCCTTCACCACCAAACACCAAACACCAAACACCAGGATGACAAGACAATTCCCAGAGACCCTTCCTGAGAATAGTCTGCATAGTTAAGACGCAGCTTCTTTTTAATTTTGTCTCACCTCCTGAGAATGGAGTGATTATCACTAACTTTCCTGGGCCATTCTTCGGGATTTATCTGATTGGTTATGTGTATAGGCTGCCAGCATTTGTATCAAAGGTATCTGCCAGGGCAGAATTGAGGAGAGAGAAGCAGGATATTTCCCTTAGGGCTTAGAGAAGACTGTTTTTTTTTTTTTTTGATAGGGGTGAGGTGAATTAAAGCAATTTTTCTTATGTTTCTTTTTTCACGCACAAATGAAGTACAAGTCCTGAAATTATACGGTGACATGCAAGGACAGTCTTCTTTTGCTTTCTGAGCTCTTGAAGTAAATAAACAATGGCTTTACACCTCATTGTATCCATTATAACTTCAGGATAGTGTATAGTGTAGATAATAAGTAATCAAAGTAAATAACCTTTGGATGTCATGTCACATTCCATGATTACAATGAAAGGTCCTAAAGTTCAAAGTGTAGATAACAGATTACAGAGGATTACTTTCATTACACCTAAGCTTTGAAGCTGACAGAAAACGAAAGACGGTTTATCAAAGTGACATTTCCTTTGTGGGATCTATTATTACTAAGCAGTTTTGAGTTAGATAGAGGAAAATCCAGTATACTTTGATACCCTGAATAACTGGACAGGGTTCTTTAAGTACAATTTTTATCGAATTGTTAACTTCTAGTTCTGGACAGAGACTGGATTAAAACTGAATTTCAATGAGAAGTTTAATTGGATGATCTTTATTTATTTATGTTAAACATTTTTTTTTTTTTAGTTGTTGATGGACCTTTATTTTACTCATTTATTTCTATGCGGTGCTGAGAATTGAACCCAGTATCTCACACATGTGAGGCACATGTTCTACCACTGAGCTACAACCCCAGTACTAATTGGGTGAACTTTATAGGGTAGAGATAAACAGCTTGGAGCTCCCATTAAATTCAGAATACTTAACCCTTCAGTAGGTGACAGTGTGTTTAATTAGTGAAAGAATTTTGTCTTCCTTTTTCCCCCTTCCTTCCACAGTATTTTTTGAGCACTTTCAATGTCCTCTGGCCAAAGACCACCAGGAACACATCTGCAGCTGAGCACAGTAACAGTAACTCTGTTACTCATTGCACCGTGGAGGAACACACTCCATGGGATATCTCAGAGTGTTATAGGGCGGGAGTCTGCCAAGAAACTGAGGTAGTGCAGAGACTCCACCTACCCTGCTTCAAACTCCAATTCTTGGAATCAGTTCAGAAAGATTCAGACGTGTCATTCAGAGTAACAGGCATGAATCTTTTTAGAAGAATAGGAAAGGGGAAAGGAGGAAAACTCCTAAGGGAGAACATGGATTCTCTTAGGAAAAAAAAAAAAATGGACGATCTACTGCTGAGCCACAACCCCAGACCCAGGTAAATTGCAGTCATTCATTCTGGCTTAAAAGAGGAAGTATTTGGTATTCTGTGGGTGGCACAGGGAACTTGTTTTTGTATATGCTTAGATAAAATTATGTGTCTCATCACATTCTGCCTGAGCTTGGGATTCCATGAGATTTCTTGTGTCTAATTGCAGAGTCACAGAACCTGGTGGTCAGTGCCAGGTCCACTGCTGAACGTCAGGAACAGCTTTGTTTTGCTTTCTTAGTATGTATTACACGATACACCGCTGTAAATAAAATAGACAAAACCTGGAGTTTATATTATAAATAGGGAGAGAATAAGAATAAAATAAGCAAGTAAACTATAATATATTAGAAAGTGGTAAGTGCTATGGAGGAAAAATAAAGCGGGAAGGGGAAGAAGGAGGCTGAGGGAGGAGTCCATTTAAATTCAAAATGGGGAAGACCAGGGCAGGCTTCCCCATAAAGCTGAGGTTGAGTAAAGACTGAAAGATTATGAGGGAATGAGCTGTGAAGATACCCTGTGAAGAGCTTTCTAAGAATAGAGAGAAGGTTGTGTAAAGGTGAGAGCTTGTCTGCTGTGTGCTAAGGACAACTAGGAACTCTAAGCTTACAGAAGAAGGGGAGGGAGGGAGAAGCACAGCATGAGGTCAGAGAAGTGATTGGGACCAGATGTTTT